TGAAGTTATTCCAAAGTAAGTTTTCTAGGATAACATCAAATAGATTATCAATAAAAGGTTAATTATATATCTAAATTTAGACAATTGTATGAAGTCATAATACAAACTACTATTGGCGGAAAAGTTATTGCTAGAGAAACGTAAGTTTTGTAATCTTCCGTTTAATTTATGAATATCTATGATTTATAACGATTGTTTTTTAGAATACCTGCTATGCGAAAGAATGTTACTGCGAAATGCGTAAGTTGTAGTATATCTTTTCATTATTTTCTGTTGACAGATATTCCTTTTAATAGAAATCTAATTTTAGTATGGGGGAGACGTAACTCGTAAAATGAAATTACTTGAAAAACAAAAAGAAGGAAAAAAGAAAATGAAAATGATTGGTATGTTGTAATCAAAGATTATCTTTTACGTTAGAATGCTAAATACGAATAAAAATCTTATTCCGAATTTTTCTTTTTAGGAAATATCGAATTGCCTCAAAAAGCATTTTATGATTTCTTATCCAAAGGTTCTGGCACTTCAAAAAAGAAATAATTTTTATTTGTTAAAGTTTATGTATAAATTAATTATTTATTGGTTTACATAATAAGTTAGTTTGACAATGCCTTATTTTTTAATTCCGGATTCCTTTGTATTATTTTTTAAATAAAATAATAAAATAACAATGTCAATTAATCCACTCCAATTTCAATATTTACTACAAATATTTGGTGGCGGTGAGGTGTGGCGAACGAATACGATGATTTTGTATAATGTGATTCAATAAATATTCCATTTTCACCAAAATCAATAATGATATAAAAGGAAAAAATAAATAAGCGAATGCCTTTAAACGCATTTTTTTGACTTTGGATGCAACAATGTAACACAAAATATTTATTACTTGAAAATTATTTCTAATCGTATCGTATTTACTCAATTCGTCGACACTTTACATTTATCGGCTCCATTTTGCCGACAACTTGTTTCACCGAGATTATCATTAACAATTACCAAAGTCATTAAACTATTAAAAAATTTTGTCATTCGGTGATTAATTAATTGTTAAAAATTTCGAGAAAATGCACTTTGATTTTAAACAATTTAGAAGAGACATTGCACGAGTACAAAAAATAAATCCGGAATTTTGCGCATAAATCAATTACATGTAATGAAAGAATCTCATCCTTATCTTTAAGAAATAATGATTCGGTGTAACACGCTTTGGTCATACGAATTAATTATGGTAATACGACATTATTGACATGAGACAATGTTAAAAAAAAAATGTTTGTTATGATATTTGTTTGTTAAATGTGATCATTCACTCATTGAAAATTTCTCACGTGGGATCGATCTCGATAAATAAATTCCTCTCCATTAAAAATGACTCATTATTATAATCCAAATATAGAATTAGCCACATTAACATCCTATTTGTTCTGAAGGAAAAAATAAAATTCCTGCCAAGCTAATCTCTTCTTGAGGATCGAATTTGTTTAATGTTTTTTTAGACTAAAAAAAAAAAAAAAAAAAAAAAAAAAAAAAATTCTGATCCAATAATAAGTAAAATTCCTTATCACATTACAGATCATATGATTGACTTTATCTCATGACTGCATATATAATTAATAATAATTTATGTGATAATTATACATCGCCTCATTCATATTCGTTCGATCTTTTTTTTCTTAAAATACCAGATGTTTTTAGATCATTGGGCGAACAAATTTACTAAACTCCATTATCATTTTGAAATGTTTTAAATTTTTTAAGCAAGCAATCATTGAGTATACTTAACTAATATAATATTCGATAAATAATATTTTACCTTTATCATTAACCTTTATCTAATCCGGAATTGAACAATTCTCAGATCTGACTGAACATTGTTTATATTATCAATCATCTGATACACAAATAAAAGCACAAAAGATTTTAATTTACATAAAAAAATTATTATGATAAATGAAATAGAATATTATGACTTAATGCGGTAAGGAATTCCTATGCTTATGCCCCACAAATCCGTAAGGATAATGCAGCGATGTTGCACTTGGAAGATTGGAAGCATAATTCTCTAACAAATTCATTTGGATTGGAAGCTTCCAATCAAATTTTATACTATTGGAAGCATAAAATGCACATCACTGGTCCCAACTTTGTCATACATGGGAAATCATGTAATCTATATTATAATTGATATTAATGTAATTTTTTTATATTTCTAATGTTTTTTTAAGTGGCGCCTATGGCGCTTACGCTCAAGAAATTCACGGGTCATAACCTGATTAGGTTATGCATATCAAATCTTGTCTCGTACAAAAAAAAAAATAAATAAATAAAAAGTACAATTTTCCGAAAAAATTTAGTAGATGAAGACACATGGGTCAAATCGTACAATCTGCATGCATGGAGTAAAGAGGATTTACATATTTTTAATTCTTTTTTTTCAAGAAAATTTCTACGCAAGTTCTTTTTTTCAAAATAATATTACCAATTTAAAGTTTTCTACTTTGCTGAAATAATTTAGCCGAGTATAAAAAAAATATTAGATACTAGTAAAATAAAAATCTTAGAATGACAAGGAAACCAGGATTTTTTTTTATAAGTTGTATGTTACACGTCTCAAATATAATAAATTTTTTTTTTAAAAAAAAAAAAAATCATTGTATAATTCCAAAATTACGAAAACAATAAAATAGCTTAGAGTTGCATTATAACACTCAACCGTTTAATAAAGTTTTTAAGTTAATGATAATTACGAACAATATTCTTTATTTTTTTAAAAAAACAATTTATTTCTATATTGATATTATTAATAATTGTTATGTCAAATTTAAAGGTCTAACTAAAAAAAAAAATAATAATAATAAATGATAAATGAAAAAAAAGAAAGAATCAATTTCTCTATTTGCTAAGAAAAGCATTAAAATGGATGTGTATTTGTGGAGTTAATTTTTATTTAACATATAATCAATAGAAGCTTTATTGGAAGCACCGGCTTCAGCTTCGATTACAGCAATATTATCACCAGCTTCGATAACAATTTCATAATCGCTGTATAATTCATCGCCTTCCTCCTCGCCGGATTCATGCTCGTCATCGGGAAGAATAGAATTAGCTTCGCCTACTTGATTAGCTCGATCGTTTTGTCTTTTCTTACAATTCCAAATGTTTTTTAGATCATTGCGCGAACGAAATTTACCGAACTTGGCTTCCATTACAGGCTGTAAAGCTTTCCATTGAATATTCTGTTCTGGTTGTGTATGTTCCGGAACCCATTCATAAATAAAATCCTTCTCTTCTTGTGAGAAAGCGTCCTTGCAAACTAATAAATGGAAATATATTAATCCAATTTCTTATTTATAAAATAATAAGTGACTAAGTTTAATTACTTACGTCGAGGATCAAGTTTGCTCCACCAACTGTTGTTTATGATGCAAAAAAGTTTAATTTATAAAAAATCTTTATAAATAAATATCTTGTTAACTTACCGATTAGCTAATTGTTTGGAGGTAAAAGGAATCGATTCCTTTTTACTTAATATTGAAAATGGATGTTTAACGGATTTATTATTGTCCATAAATTTTCTAATAATTTGATCGTGCTAAAAAGTAACGAAAAAGGTTAATATATTAAATTTTTTTTTATCATATAAATATAAACCATTGACACTTACATCTGGGCTGAACCTCATCCTACAATTTATTTTTTTTTTTTTTTAAAAGATTCTTTTTTCGAGTTATTTAAAAGGAAAAAAGAAAAAGAAAATCTGAGAATTGAAAGGAGAAAATCTCACACCTTTTTATAGAAAATTTTATTAATAAGAACGTTTATTTATTTATTTCGTATTCGATATTCACCCAAAATGCGATCAATTACGCATTGACCATCTGACTATCCTTTTTTGCCTTTAATTTAATTTGTAGGATCATCGTCCCTATCTAATCTAATGTTTTTTTTTTTTACTTTTCTTTATTGGTTTCTGGATTGTTGTCACACAATTATATTATGTCATTGAATTTATTAAGAATTTGTAGTTGTAAACAATAGGTACTGATAGATGAGGTATTTTCGCAAAAAAAAAAAAAAAAAAAAAAAAAAAAAGATTAATTTGCTCAGGTGGTCGAATGAATGGTCACATTATTTACCATCTCTCTCCTTAGTTTCAAAAGGATAAACAAAGAGTGATAGCAGTAAATGCATCAGGTATTGGATATATAATGAATTGATTTTATCCAATCTAATAAAATACTTAATATAGCAAATGTTTATCCGATAGCGAAAATCCGATTTATCGAGAATCCCATCCAATGGCTTATAGTATGCATGGATCTTTAGCTGTACAAAGTTGGCTCGGTCATTGAAATTGTATATACTGTGTGATACCAACCTCGCAACTTCTGCTCGACTCATCCGCGAATATTATTTTGAAAATTAAAAAATATATTAAAATGTATGCTAGAAACTGATCGCTCGGGAGTCAATGCTTTTTTAAGCACGTGTAACGCCGGATATATTGTATTTTAAGAATTATTATGCATACATTTAGTCCTTTATATGGTAAGGATTTTCATTTATATTTGGTCATAATATAAAATTTTATATTTAAATTAAAGCTAATGCCTTCAAATTTGACTGCTAAACCATTAGTAATATATATATACGTTGAATATATATGAAGCAAATACTAACAATACGTTTATTTAAACAATCTTTATCAACTATTGTCAATTCGCAATATAATTAGATTGTTTCAAAAAAAAAAAAAAAAAGAATAATTAGATTGACTTCACATGAAATTTATGGTCGATACGTTTTTTTTGTTTTCTTTGTTTATTGAAATAAAATAATAAATCAATTATTATCTATATCAAAATTTTTTGATTTGGATTAATTAAAAAATTTTTTTTTTCTTTTAAAAATTTACAAAAGAAAAAACCAGTTTTCCAAAAAAAGAAAAATTTTAAGACTAGATTAATTAAAATTATATAAATTTGCTTAATACAATATTAAGAAGGGCACTTGTAAAAGTCGTCGTCATTTAAAATGTAAGAAAGTTTAGCTTTAGGATTATCAAGACCAACATGAACTTTAGCTTTAGAATTATCGATATTATTCTTAACCCTAGATAAATATCTTTTGTAAGAATACCAAACGTTTTTAAGATCATTGCGCGAATGGAATTTGCCAAATTTGGTTTCCATTTCCGATTGTAATTTGTTCCATTGAATGATTGGACGTGCTTTTTGATGTGACTCGACCCATGATTTAATATAAGACTTCTCTTTATCTGAGATACGTACTTTGCTGACTAAACAAAAGGATAGATGTTAATTCAACTATTTTTTTAACAAACAAAGTAATTAATGTACAATCTACTTACGACGAT